GAGGGTGACGGGAAGTACTCAATCTACATCGGGGGCCGGCGTTGAGACGTTGGTGGTCGTCGTCCGTACCTTCATTGACCTTAACTGTCGTTCAAGGCTGGCAATCTTGTTTACGCCGCAACGACTGTCCGTTTTCTCGTCTGCCGGACTAGTAGATGGAACGGCTGTGGTGACGACTGCGCCTTCGTCGGAACCGGGTTGAGGGGTGACTGAGTGTGCATCCGCCATGGACTCGCTCATGTCTGGATTCATGTTTAGCCTGGGTTCACGTCTGCTCATTTGTTTACTGAGCTGCGCTCGAAGGGCTTGATAGGCAGCGGGAAGAGCCACACAACGGTTGATGGAGGTTGTCCCTGTGTGCCAAGCCTCAATTGTTTCCCTGGCTATGCGGTCGCCTCCTCGGCCCAGAATTTTGACATGCTGAAAGGCGAACGTGTGTCCGGAATCGGCGCAGTGTTCGGCCACCAGAGACAAAGGGTCCATTCGCCTTACTGCCCTCATGTGTTCTCCAACACGGGTCTGTAGTCGTTTGCCCGTCTCCCCAATGTAGTTTGTTTCACAGGAGTTACACTGGATCCGGTAGATGACGTTCGTGGTTTCACCTGGTGACAGAGGGGCCTTAGGTCTCATGACCAGATGTCGAATTGTTGACTCCGGTCGGTGGGCGATGCCGATCCCCAGCGGCCTTAAGAGACGGGAGACCGCCTCAGAAACGCCATCGATGTATGGGAGCGCCCGCCATATTTGTGGTCGTTCTGTTTCCAAACGTCGGCTCGGTCCGGCCTGTCTGCCGCGTTCGATGAAGTTGCGTGGATACCCGTTGAACATGAAGAGGCGCTGGAGGTAGCGTAGTTCTGACCTTCTGTCGTCCGGCTCGCTGCAGTGTGTTTCTGCCCTTCTGTAGTGTTCGCACACAACTGCGTTTGTGGCACAACGGGTGCTTACTGTGGAAACTCAGGATTTGGCGCGTATTAGTTGCCTTCCTATATACCGTCGTTTTCAAGTGCCCATTTGGTTTTCGATGGACGAGAACGTCCAGGAACGGCAGTTGGTTGTTGGCTTCCGCCTCCATTGTGAACTGGATGTCGGGGAAAACAGAGTTCAGGACGTCATGGAATTCTTGGACCTTTTGCCGCTTAATGATAACGAAGGTATCATCGACATATCGAGTCCAAAATTTCGGCTTATAGGCTGCGAAAACTAGGGTCTCTACTTTTTGGAGAACTGCGTCTGCGATGAAGCCCGAGAGCGGCGATCCCATTGGCGTCCCCTTGACCTGCTCGTAGGTCGTACCTTCGAAGGTAAAGTACGTCTTCAGGCAGAATCTCAGCAATTGGACAAGATGTCTCCGTTTTATCGTTACGCCCGTCTCGTCGTACTGACTCTCGAGCAGCTCGCTGACCGTTTCGACTGCCAGGTCTTGCGGAATCGAAGTGAAAAGAGAAGTGACGTCGAATGACACCATGACCTCGTCTTCGGTAAGTCTCATCCCTTCGATCCGCTCCAGGAACTGAGTCGCTGAACAGACCGTCGTGCCCGCGTTCGAGGTGAGAGACCTCAGATTTCGGAACATCCATTTAGCCAAATTGAATATAGGTGCCCCGCGCAATGATACGATTGGCCGGAGGGGCACCCCGGCTTTGTGTACCTTTGGCAGTCCGTAAAAGCGTGGTGCGGCCGCGTCTACTGGCTTAATGGCCAGTCGCACCGATTTATTTATTGCCTTGCTGGTTTGCATGTCGGCGAGAGTTTGTCCAGTTGCGTCACCAGCTTCCTCATCGGTTCATCGTTACATGGTAGGTACGCCTGTCGGTCCTCCAGTAGGGCATTGGCTTTCTGAATGTAGTCTGCCTTATCCATCACAACTGTGGAGCGCCCTTTGTCTGCTGGTAGAATCACGATGCTGGTGTCAGCCCTCAGTGTCTTGAGAGCCCTCTGCTCGGCCTTGGTAATAGTTGCACGTGGTTTGTGCGCCATCGCCAAGGAGGTTACCTGCTGTCGAATGAGTTGCTTTGTTTCGTCGGATTCCCCGGTTTGTTTGGGAATCGACTCAACCGTGGCCACGAGATTGACCGAATCGGCGTCTGTGGTGTTGAAGCAGGCCTCATGACTCAGCGCTTTCATTTGTGCAGGGGTCAGCTGCTTAGAGGACATGTTGTGCACAAGGACTTCGTTCTCCTCTTGAGATGATTGGCTTATACTCTGGAGCTTGACCGCCAGCTCGGCATCTCTTGTTGCTCGCAGGTTTCTGGCCCGTTTATTAATCACTTGTTGCAAATGCGTGACTCCGTCCTCACCGATGAGTTCGACGCACTTTGTAACCGCTTGGCTCAAAACCCTGTTGTATTTACGCAGTCGAAGATGGCAATCTTGGAGAAGCGCTCGAATCATTCGCCTGCCATGTTCAGCCACCCACCGTTTCGCCAGACTTGTGTTTACCGGTGGCCTGTAGGACAGGCTCTTCGGAAGCACATGATTGTCAAGGCATCTGTAGAGAAATTGTATTTGCGCGTACGTAGAAGACACACGAAGGGTGAATATTTCCCAACGCCGTGCAGACTCAAGCGCTTCGCGCCCGAAAATATTGCTAATAGAAGCGAAGATGCGTGTCCCCGGACATAAATCAGAAGAAAAGGCGATCTCTGGAACCATAGTTTTACTGGCCTGACGTTTCAAAAGCATACAAGCTTCCATCGTCGGAGGTGAGTGTGGTATCGCGCCTCACAGTATTTATAGGTGGGTGACAGTCATGTCAAGACGGGTTTTTTTCTTACATACGAAGTCAGGGCGGCAGGGAGGAAGGGGCGGGGAGGGAGTCCTAGAGCGTCTTCTCGCCGGATGAAGGAGGGGGACGGTGATTGAGTACTTCCCGTCACCCTCCCCCCCCCGTCCGCCACAGCCCCTGTGTGCAGGCGCTGGTGACCACTAAAGCTGATTCACCGTCCCCCTCCTTCATCCGGCGAGAAGACGCTCTAGGACTCCCTCCCCGCCCCTTCCTCCCTGCCGCCCTGACTTCGTATGTAAGAAAAAAACCCGTCTTGACATGACTGTCACCCACCTATAAATACTGTGAGGCGCGATACCACACTCACCTCCGACGATGGAAGCTTGTATGCTTTTGAAACGTCAGGCCAGTAAAACTATGGTTCCAGAGATCGCCTTTTCTTCTGATTTATGTCCGGGGACGCGCATCTTCGCTTCTATTAGCAATATATATATATATATATATATATATATATTATGACAGATGGGCGCTCACCGATCAGGTTACAGAACATACTCGTTCTGTTGTGCCTTTGGGGCTCATACTTAAACCCTCGCAGGCAGTCGCACAGCGACTAGTGATATAGGTAGATAAGGTGATACCGACAAAGACAAGGGAGACCGGAATGGCCATTTCTGGCTTATTAGCCGTCATCAGCCAGTCATACCCAACCCCAAGTGTGGATCACTTGAGATTCGAACGCGGGATCTTTGGTCACGGAGTTTGACGCTCTACCATTGAGCCACGGGCCCGTTGTCCTGTCGGTTGTGATCGGGAATATCAATTATGACAGATGGGCGCTCACCGATCAGGTTGCAGAACATACTCGTTCTGTTGTGCCTTTGGGGCTCATACTTAAACCCTCGCAGGCAGTCGCACAGCGACTAGTGATATAGGTAGATAAGGTGATACCGACAAAGACAAGGGAGACCGGAATGGCCATTTGTGGCTTATTAGCCGTCATCAGCCAGTCATACCCAACCCCAAGTGATGACGGCTAATAAGCCAGAAATGGCCATTCCGGTCTCCCTTGTCTTTGTCGGTATCACCTTATATATATGGGCCGCCCCAATCCCAAAAGGGTTCAGGATTCTTGCTGTCGCCTCAGAAACGTTCCTCATGTAGGGGATTGCGAGCCAGAACTTCGGCTTCTCATCGTTAGATCGTTCGCGGTTAAATCCTCTTCGGCACTCACGTATGAAGGATCGTGGGTAACCATTGGCTGTGAATAGGGAATGTAGGTACTTCATTTCCTCCCTCCTCCCGTCGTTGTCATTACAGTTTGTTTGAACTCGTTGGAAAAGAGCTCTGACACAACTGCGTTTGTGACTGATGGGGTGGTTACTCCGGAATTGGAGGATGCGTCTAGTATTCGTTGCCTTTCGGTATACCGTAGTTCTGATCTCCCCATTAGCTATCCTTGTGATGTTTACGTCAAGGAAGGGCAACTGGTTGTTGTCCTCCTCTTCCATTGTGAATTGGATGTCGGGGAATATTGAGTTCAACAAGACTTTGAAGTCCTGAACGTCGTTCCTCTTGATTACGACAAATGTGTCGTCGACGTATCTGGCCCAGAATTTTGGGGAGTACGAACGGAAGACCAGTCGCTCGAGCCTCTGTGGAACAGCCTCGGCAAGCAGTCCAGACAGCGGAGAGCCCATCGGTGTTCCCTTCTTTTGTTCGTAAACCCGGTTGTTGAAAGTGAAGAAAGTTCTGAAGCACAATTCCAGGAGTTCGATGACGTGCGTTCGTTTAAGCCGTTGATCAGTTTCATCGTACTTCTCCTGAAGAAGCTCGTTAATGGTACTGATGGCAAGGCCGGTTGGGATTGAGGTATCTATGTCGGGAGTACGGTACAATACCTTTACCACATGGATTTCATACTACTCGTAGTACTACTTGTTTGTAGAATGGGCATTATGTGGTTAGTCCACAGTAGTTGATTGTCTTCGACTCGAATGTTCATTGAAATTTCAGTTCTGGCCCTAAAAAGTCATGTCCCGGAGATTTAACTCCAAGTCCTACACTAAGTAATTTCTGAAATTACTCACTTAATTACACAATTCTATATTCCTGGCTGGCTGCCTGTTGGCGGTTTGTGAATATCACGCGGTTATTCCGCAGTGACTGATGGATTTCAGCTCAAATATTCATATCAAATTTCGGACCGTGCCTGAAAAGGTCTGTTCCGAAGGATTTACTCTTAGTTTGCACACTGATTGCCTCGGAAATGAAACAAGGCAAAGTGGAACTGGATTCCATATACCAGAAAACACGCGGGGAAGGCTGGGGGAACCACCGATGAGCCGAACACGTCGCAGCTGCGTCAGGCAGCGACACAAGATCGGCGAAACACGCGTGTTTGGGCTTTTAGCTTCTACCTGTGTTGTCAGTATGGTAAATCATTACACAAGACTAGAACAAACTGCATGTTTCGATAGGCAAGAGGCGTCGTATAGTCGGCGGTCATAAATCGTCTGAATTTTCTCATGAGTGGAAACAAGTGCTACAGCATACTGATAGGAAAATATGCAACGCCCACCGGCGCGCTTTATTGGTTCTAATGATTACCCCATAGGGCGTGTCCTGGGCGCTTATGGCTGGACGATTAGTGAAGCTTGGCGGTTTGCATGACCTCGGCTGATCTTGCGTTCAGAAATATGTCTCGATCGTTCAGAATGCAGATTATTCTATCGATCCAGCTGGCCGTAGTGGTCAAGAGGTAAATCGCGGTATACCTATGAGCTGTTTTTACGCCTAACCATCGGACTGGGATAAATGGCTGATAAAATTAACTGCCGAACCATCTAACGGGCCTTTGCCACATTTGAAATACGCTGAAAGTCTGTCGACTAAAAACTACTTTGATTAAGGCGTACATAGGGAACTGGTATAGGCAGAAAATACCTTTCCCAGACTCATCGAATGGAGGATTGATGAAATTATTTTGGGCAGTCGCCCGCCATTCATATCAAGATCAGAGGACAGGGTGTGACATCAATTGAGGCATGAAGTTATTATTAGTCTGTCGATAGAAGCGAAAGGCGAATTTGTCGCAGAAGCCTAAGCCGAGAGTGGAAGACCCTGGCTACCACGGCCTTCAGGCTCGGTTCTGAATGGAAAGAGACGCTGGACGCCAGATGAGAGGATGATGTACTCTGTACAGAATAACTGAAGATGGTTTTGGAGAGAGTCGGCAGCCGGACGAGGGCATGACCGGTGCCGGGTTGTAGTGGGCAGCCATCATGACCGGTCTGGCGTCATTGTTCAAGACCTCGCTGCCTCAAGGTCATCCACCCTTTTGCAGTGAGTCGTTCCAGACGAGCTGACCTGAAGTCACACAACCGACAGCTCGGGCACACGTACGGCCGCACAGCCGCAGCTGCCCATGCGGCCATTTGAACGCACCTCTCTCCTGCAACCGCAACCTAAGCCACTGGGACACCACCCCTGGACAAATGCTGCACACACTGACTGGACACCATTTGAGCTTGGCCCACGAGCCTACAAGAGCGGTTGCCACCAGTGCCTCATGGACTCTCAGGCATGACTGGACGCAGTCAACACCGGCCCTGGCTTCGCCGGTAACCACTGCCGACTGAGAGGACAACACCGGGTTCTGTGCACAATAAACCCCTCATTCTGGTGCCTTCCGTCTTTACCTTCCAACACTAGGATTTGACCCGACGATGGTAGCACACAGACAGGCTCCACATTCTCACCGCCTATCAACCAATAAATTGGTGACAAACCCGACGTGATCGATGCCACATCTCCAGACGTGGCTGAACTCAACCGCCACAAAATTCCCACTCGACTTCGCCCTGCTGTTTTTCCTGTGTCACACCGTATCCACGAATAGGAAAACGCGGCTGCCGTCACCCTGTCGCGATTCGAGATGGATGATGTCAACAAAACACAGCCATACAAAAGTCCAGGTCAAACCCCAATCAAATTGTGTGGAGCAGTCCTACAAATGTGTTGCCATCTGAACATCATCCCTTTTGTCCGAGACATTCTTCCGCCCATTACCGACAAAACGGAGCCGGAGAAAGGGGGAACTAGAGCGGCTGTCACAGGGTGAGCGGCGTCCCCGGTGCCCGCCATGGAATGCGTTAAAGCGTCTTAAGAAGGGGCACGTCTGATTCAGCCTTGAATCTGATTGGTCGGTTGGAAAGTCAAGCTGGCGAATGTCAGACAGCCCTGGTGTGCACGTGTTGACACTCGCGAGAGACCCAGCGCTGTGACAGGCGCTTGGGGTAGGGTCACTACAAGTTCCTGGAGGCGGTCGAGAAGATGGAGTTGCGATCGTTGGAACAAGAATTTTATTCACCTGACGTTTCGGTTTCTCACTGGAAGCCGTCAGAACAATAAACAGAGTGCGTCGGTGCTCGACGACCCATTTTTCACAAACTGAACCGTTCCTTACTAAGATCTATGAACGGTCTGAAGATCAAAAACTTGAAGTACAACTGCTACCGATAGTATCGCTAATCGGTGCATTCAATTACAAATGGGTAGGCTACAAACTCCATCTATTGGCAAAGGATTGTGAAGTTCCAATGGAGAATTCTGTAGAATTTCCCGGCATATTGCGAGGATCTGCCACGGCAGTACATTCGATAATGGTATCATTCGATGTCACCACTTTCTTCATTCCCAATACCATCGTATTTAACACGGTAGTCCACAGAATACCGCCTTTAGTCCTGTGACACGAATTTTCCTGCAGCTGCGATAACCAGACTCCTGGATGACACTAACGTTACTGTCTAATGGGATTAATAGGAATTGTTTTATCGCGGCAGGCGAGGCCGGGAGTAAGACCCTGGCTGCCACGACCTTCAGGCCCCGTCCCGAATGGAAGAGATGGATACCAGTGGGGAGGACGATGCATTCTGTAGGAGTCAGAAAGAGT